GGATGGATGGATGGATGGATGGATAGGTGGGTTGGTGGGTGAGAGTCCTACATCCTAATCCCTAGGCCACCAGGGAGTGTCAAAGAGATTATGTGGATAGATGTTGTTGTTTACCCTCAAAGCAGCCAATTCCTAGCTGGCCCTCCAGCGGGTTTTCAGAGGCTATAATTCACACTGGGGAAGACTGCCTATCTTTCTCCTGCAGAGCCACTGGTCCGTTCAAACCACATGCCTTTGAGTTGGCAGCACATGGATGAACATACATCCTGAAAGGGACTGATGTCAGGGCTGTCACTGGTCTGCAGATCCCTGAGGAGGGAGAAGCTGTTTGGGCCCCTCACCTGGGCTCGGTCCCAGGCTGCTGCTGGTGAAACAGTGGCCCCTCACAATGTCTCCCCTCCCCTCCCCTCTCCTCCCCTCCCTTCTCTCCTCTCTCTTTCCCTCCCTCTCCCTCTACTCCTTCTCTTCCCCTCCCCTCCCCTTCCCTTCCTTTCTCTCCTCTCTTCCCCTCCCTTTCCCTCTACTCCTTTTCCCTTCCCCTCATCTCTCCACCCTTCCCCTCCCCTTCTCTCTCCTCCCCTCCCCTCAGCTCCCCTCCTTTCCCTTCTCTTCCCCTTCTCTCCTCTCTCCTCCCTTCCCCTCTCCTCTCTTTCCCTCCACTCTCCTCTCCTTTGTTCCCCCACACTCTTACCTATCTGCATTTGGCCTTTGGGTTACAATCATCAACAGTCACCATTCTTTCCTAAAGGGGACCTTTCATTACCAGAGGCAGTAGCCTTCAGAGAAAGGTACCCTCACGCCCCGCTCAGCCACTCCTTGAATTCCAGGTCCCTGTTCACCAGCCAGCAAAGTGCAGGATAATGACTGTTGCCAGGAGCTGTGTGGTTCTCAGTGGTTCATTTTGGTGCCTTACCTGGATGGACTGGGAGGTGTGATGTTGTTAGATAGTGTCACATCAGCCTGATCCTACAGCGACCCCAGGTTAGAGGAAACAGAACTGCCTGTTCCTGTGTCACCCCCATGACCGGTTGTGAATCAGAATGTAGGGTTTTCAGTGGCTGATTTTCAGTAGTTGGTTGCCAGGCCTTTCTTCCTAGTCACTAAAATCCATTTGGTATTCTGGCAACACTCACTATTGAGAACGTGGTACGAAACCCATTTTTCAGATGAGCTGCAGGTTCAGAGAGGTTGGAGTATTTGAGACCATACAATCTTATCTGCCCTTAACCCTGGCTGGGAGGGATTCTTTGCTTTCGTGCTGGGCACCGGGATGAGCGTGGATGGGATGGTGGCTAAGGTGAAGAGAGAAGGTGGACTGGGCAGCTGAGAGTGCCCTAGGGGCAGCCAGGGGTCCTGTGTCCAGCTAGCTCAACTCTGGGAGCCAAAGGCTTAGGGAGAGTTCTCGGCTGCTCCGATCCCTTTCAGTTCTCCCTTTCTATGAAGCCCCCTCTCTCACGCATCCCTGTTAACTGGAACCTGTGTCCACAGCATGTTGTCCAGCCTGAACGAGTGGCTGTGGCAGGAGAAGTTCTGGCTGCCCTCCAACAACACATGGGCGGACCTGGAGGACCGGGATGGCATGGTCTTTGCCCACCCTCGGGACCTGCTGGCAGCCCTGCCCCTGGCCCTGGCCCTGCTGGCTGTGCGCATGGCCTATGAGAGGTGAGTGTCCTCCTTTCCACTGACCTGTGACCTCATCACCTATGTGCCTCCTGCTGAGCCTGGCTTTGAACACTGTAATCTGACCCCCTCCCCCCCCCCCCAGGCCCCAGGCCCTCTGCTGCAGCACTTGTCTATAACCAGGTGGGGGTGCTAGAGACACTTTCTAACCTCAGCTCATTACACAAATGAAGCCCCTGCTCACCGTCCTGCCTCTGTCCACTGGGGGTAGACCCACTGTCACTCACCCCATTGCCCCTCGATTCTGTCCCCAGCTCCCCTCTTTGTAACCACACTCCCACCTTCCCCCATGGCTCTCCCATCATTCGTAGCCTGCAGCCACTGGGTCATCCTCTAAATACATACCTTTCCCTAGCTCACTCCTCCCAAAAGAAGCAGTTTGTGTGAAGATTAGAACTGTGTTTCAAGTAGGGTTCTTTCTCAAGGCAGACAGCCAGTCCTTTCTTCTGAGGCACCTCTAGTCTGGGCAGATTTGAACTGCTTCGGAGAAGAGTACTGACTCTCCTTTGGACTGCCAAAAGAACAAACACATGTGTCCTGGGGAAGATGCAGCCGGAATGCTCCTCGGAGGCGAGGATAGAGAAGCTCCATCTCACATACTTTGGACAGGTTGCTAGGAGGGCTGTTCACTGGAGAGGGACGTCATGCTTGAAAAGGCCAAGCAGGTGGATTGACACAGTGACCGCAGCAATGGGCGTCAGTGCGTCAGAAATGATGACGATGGAACAGGATAGGTCATGGTTCAGGTCTGTTGCTCGTTGGGTCACTACGAGTCGTGCCGACTTGACAGCACCTCGCAACCACAACCTATCAGGAGGTGTGCACTTCACCTTTCTCACCCTGCAGGGATGCCAGGTTCCCTGAGACTTCTGAGTTGCCAAACCCTATGGGTCCATCTCTTCGGTAGAACAACTTCTTCCTTCCCCCACCCCAGTCCCAGTAACCACCCCTCGTGAGCTCTTCCAGAGCCCCGAGTGCTGCAAATGGTTAACACATTTAGCTTCTCACTCAAAGGTCGGAGGTTCTAGTTCACCTAAAGGTACCTAGGAAGAAAGACCTGGCAATGTGTTTCTCAATAACTAGCCATTGAAAACCCCATGGAGCACGTTCTAATCTGACAGACACGCGGGGCCACTGATAGCGGAATCCACTCTGGCATCTGAGCTAAATCCCCCCCCTCTGGGTCTCTTTCTCTCAGCCCCAGGTGATCCCACCATTTCTCACAGACAAGATGTCCAGTTCCTCTTCCAATCCTTTCCCACGGCCCCCCTCATGCACCTTCCTTACTGTCCTCCCACCACCTGCACCTGCCTGTTTCCTGGACTGGCCCTGCCTGCCATTCCTCTAAGCGTGGGTTCCATTGCCTCCTCTTCCAAGAAGCCTGCATATTCTCCCCTTAGGCAGAGCCCTTAATTCCCTCTGGGTCCCAGACTGAGTCCCTCTTCAGTCCCTGTCCTGCCTCAGTGGCCTGGGAGCATTGGTCTTGCTTTGCCTCCACTTGCAGGGAACTGGCCGAGGTCTAGTCCCCAGCACAGGCTGCACACAGGGAGCCAGGGGTCTTGTGAAGTCACGGACCTTCACAGTACACCGCAGTGTGAGCATCTTAACTCAGGCCTCAGTGGAAACCCAAGGTGCCCATGCTGCAGAAGAGAGAGAGCATGAGGGCTGCAGGACTCAGGAAGCCCTGAAGCCACTGCAGAGAGAGAGCCCTGTGCCCCTGTGGGCTGGGCAGGGTGGGCCTGGGTCGAGGTTCACCACGGAACTGGAATGAGGGGAGGTGGATGCTTTCGCAGGCCCACTTTACAGGTGTGGGGGCGTGTTACTTGTTTCTAGGATATGCCTAGTGCTTTTGAGGGACAGTTGTGGGGACCTTTGGGGGTACTTTATCCCTTGTCAAAGAGAAAAGTTAGTCCAGGGTTCCAATTCCAGGTCTACCAGACTATCTCTGTGTGGCTTTGGTCATGGCTCTGAGCCCTCTGCACCTCAGTCTACCCATCAGGATAATGGGAAAGATGGTAATAGATGAAGGATTAGGAGCAGGTGGACCAAGCCAGTTTCTAATCCTGACCTGAAAGATAGTTCAAACCCAACAGGCCGCATCCTCCCCACTCCCACCCCTGCGCATGCCCCTGAGTCAGGGACGAGTCTCTTGCTAGACTATCCTGGGCCTCAATTTCCTGAAATGTGAGGCAAAGACATGATGCAGGTAGACATGAGGCAGGTTTTAAAATTTGATTTCTACCTGTGATGTCGGGTGCCCCCTAACGGTCAATATTGTGAACAGCATTGTTTCTATCCAGTGGATGGACAGACCTGAGCCTCACCGCCAGGGGTCAGGCTGTGACAGGATCTCCCTCCATGTTTTGGAAAAAGCAAAGGTGCACGGTACCCCAAGAGTTAGTCGTAGCACCCCCATCCTGAAGCCCGAGAAGCTATACTTACTTGGTGGTGGTGGGTGTGGCTGAACTGATTCCAGCCCAAACCCTGACCCTGCAGGACCGAGTGGCGCTGACCACAGGATGTCTCAGGTGCTGATTTCACTGCCATACTGTCTTCTGCAGGGCGATTAGTGGGTTCAAACAGCTGACCTTTCAGTTAATAGCTGAGTGTTTTAATCACTGTGCCACCAGAACACCTCTGGCCTATTTGGCAGATCCCTGTGGACACTTACTCCTTTCTCAACTGGTCCAGGACCTACAGCGCTGAGTCTTCCTTTTGCCCCGGGTGTTCCTTCTAGGGATGCAGTGGAGACACTAGGCTATTAACCAAAAGATTAAAGGTTCAAGTCCATGCTGAGGCACCTCAGAAGAAAGGCCTGGCAATCTCCTTCCCCAAACCCAGCTATTGAAGGCCCTCTGAGCTCCGCTGTCCTCTGACACACTTGGCGTCCTCTGCTGCCTCTGTGTTTGGTCTGGTGCAGCCACAAGGCTCCCCAGGCCCCAGTGCTCGAGGCTGAGATCAGCCATGGGATGTTTGTCAGACCTTGTCCCTTAGAAGGAGAAGAAAGATCCCAAACCTTCCATGCTGCCTCCTGCCGCTGGGCTTCCCTGGCCATTCTGAGCTTCACTTTCCCCATCTGTAGCATGCTCCCCCTCAGCCCTGTCCCTGCTCCATGGCCTGACATTTGTCCCTCCAGGTTTGTGGCGCTGCCCCTGAGCCGGTGGCTGGGTTTGCAGGACCGAATCCGGAAGCCAGTGACACCCAACCCCACACTGGAGAAATATTTCCTCACACAGAGCCGGAGACCCAAGGAGGTGGGTGCTGTCTGGCTTCCTAGCACCCAGAACACCACCCTCCAGTCCACTTGGGCCCCCCCCCTCAGATGGTACAAGGCCTTAGGAGTTGGAGGGGTTTCTCTCCTGTCCCTGAGGAGAAGTGGATACGTCCTCTTTCCATTCACACCCATGGGTGTAGCTGCCACACTAGGTGGGGTCTTGCTGGGTCCTGAGTGGGTGGGAGAAGGTCTCTGTACCTGGGAGTGGGGGTGGAGCCAAGGAGAGTCTGTGGTTCCTTCTCAGCCTTTAGGGGGTGGGAGGACCCTGACTTTCTAGATGGCATGTAGGAATGTGCCTGTGGGGTCCTACCCCCCGCCCCTTCCCCAGGTCCCTCATTTGCTCTGAGTGAAGGGCAGAGTTCTGTGTAGGTGGGAGAGGAGGGCAGGATGAGGCTCCATCCCAGGACCTCGGCCCACCTCAGTCCTCAGAGCTGAAAGGTCCTGCCTGTCTGGGATGGGACCACAAACCATCCTGGGGCCCCAGGGCACTGCTGTCACCCCTTCCTTTGCAGCCCCAGATGGCCCTCCTGGCCAACCAGTGTGGCCTCACCCTGCGACAGACCCAGCGGTGGTTCCGGCGCCGCTGGAACCAGGAACAGCCCACGCTAAGCAAGAAGTTCTGTGAGGCCAGGTGAGGGTGGGGCTGGGACTCAGGGGCAGGTCTGGGGGTGCTGGGGTGCAGCAGCACCCTCACTTCCTCATGGGCTCCCCCTCCTGCAGCTGGAGATTCTTGTTCTATCTGTGTACCTTCCTGGGTGGCCTCTTGGTCCTGTACCACGTGAGTGTGTCCCCTGTCCCCCTACCTGCCTCACCTCATAGACACGTGCCTAGGACTTGCTGGTCATTGGGTCCTTGCAGAAATGAGTCCATGGCCTAGAGTGGGGGAGAGTCAGATGATATAGCTTAAGTGTGACCTAGGGGCACCCAGTGGGGGCTGGGACCCTCAAACTCACCAGCTGACCCCACCCCTCTCCACAGGAGTCGTGGCTGTGGGAGCCAAGGATGTGTTGGGAAAATTATCCAAACCAGGTGAGCTGCAGAGGTTGTATGGCGGCCTATAGGAGCCAAAAGTCAGAGATGCAGTGGGAGAGGGTGGCCAGAAGGGGGCGCCAAGCAGGGGCATCGCCCCACAACCCTCCCTGGCCTTGAACTTGACCTTCCAAGGCTTCTCTTGGAACAGAGTCTGGAAACTAGGCCCAGGAGCTGCTGTAAGAACCACTGTTCTTGATTATGTCCAGGGATGAGGCACTCACTTCTTGCTCATCGAACAAGATCTTTGGGGTGGGGCAAGTGGGAGGTAGTGTGCAGGGCCCCACCCCACTGCAAACCTTGCCCCGCCCAGCCCCTGAAGCCCGCCCTGTACTGGTGGTACCTCCTCGAGCTGAGTTTCTACATCTCCCTGCTGATGACTTTGTCCTTCGACATCAAACGCAAGGTGAGACCAGAGTGAGGGAGGGGCTGAGGGAGTGACCAGGAGCTGGAGGGGAGAGGGCTGAATTCACAAGTCCCCTTTCCCAGCCCCCAGACACCCCTGAACCCCATACCTGAGCGTCCTAGGAGTCCAGAGACACCAGCCCCCATGAGTGTTTGCCCTGCGCCCCTTGGGACGGGGACCCTCCACTCACTGAGGCCTGTCCCCGCGTCTCCTGCAGGACTTCAAGGAGCAGGTGGCCCACCACTTCGTGACCATCACCCTGGTCACCTTCTCCTACAGCTCCAACCTGCTCCGCATTGGCTCCCTGGTGCTGCTGCTGCATGACGCCTCTGACTATCTGCTGGAGGTGGGCCGCCCACCCTCCCTGTCTGGCCTACCCACACCCATTATCCGATGTCCTCCAAGTGGGCCCTGAGTCAAAGCCCCACCCCCTTGGCCATTCCGGGAGGCCAGGCCCCGCCCCTTCCGCTTTCCTAGGAGATAGTCCTGCCACCCTCCTCCTATCCTGGTCATCACTTTCGTCTTCCCAGGTCCCCTTGACTTACTGGACCTCACCCCTCATCACCTCCTGTGGAATGAGCCCCTGCCTGTTCTGTCTCACCCAGCCACCCCCACTCCGTGAATCCCAGGCCTGAGCCCCCCTCTCCTATGTGCTCCCCAGGCTTGTAAGATGTTCAACTACATGCGCTGGAGGTTTACTTGTGACACACTCTTCCTCATCTTCTCCGGCGTCTTTCTCTACACACGCCTCGTGCTTTTCCCCATGAAGTGAGTGTGCTTCTGCAGTAGGGGATCGGAGGGTAGGGGAGACGGGGTGACAGAGGCTCCCCAATTCCAGGAATAGGTGGGTGAGGAAGGAGGTGTGTGCCTGGTACAGAGCACACAGTACAGCACAAAGCACACAGCACAGCATAGCATGTGAAAAGGCCCTGAGGAAAGGGAAGGAGGGACGGGGCACTGGCGCCCTGGTGTCACAGCTCAGGCCAGGCTCATCTGATATGCTTGGTGCAGCACACAGAGCAGATAATGTGCAGGGCGCTCAGAGGCCCTGCCCCGTGTGGAATTCACATAGGTCAACCAAGCACACTGTTGAGTGTCTCGTGCAAGTACTAAAGAGAAAACTAAGGCAGTGAGGGGCACAGTAAAGGAAGGCATATGGGACAGCATTTGTCCAGAACCTAAGGGAGGTGAGGGAGAAAACCACTGATAGGGGAAGCTTGCTCTAGGCAGAGGGCCAGAGCCTGCTGAGTTGGAGGAATAGGTCCTTGTGCCTGGAGGTGAGTTCAGGAAAAGGAGCAGAGGGTCACGGTGGACCTCTTAGCAGAGGGAGGTGGGAACACTGGCAGCTGTGAGCAGAGAAAGCTGGCTCTGGTTCCTGCTCAGGGACGCCCTCTGGTGGGTGGAGGCAGAGGGCGTCACCACTGACCCTATGAGCTGATGAAGGAGAGGGCACAGTTCACAGGTACTGAAGGGATTTCTAGAGAAGAGGAAGAGGGCAGGGGCGCAGGGAAAGAAGGGTTTAAAGAGCTCTGCTTTGGGTTTTCTTGGGGCTGGTGAGGATGACGACAGGGTGAGGCCATCCGGGGCACCAGCAGAGAAGGTAGAGCTGAGTGGATGGGGCGGTCGTCATGCTAGACGGGAACCAAGGCCCTCGGCACCCCATAGGGGTCATGGTTGTGCTTGTGGACGGTTAAGAGTCAGCGAGCTTGAGCATTTTGCTGAGTAAGCAGACTCAGCCTGCCTAAGTGCTGCCTGAGTCTGGGTGGCACAGTCTGTGCATGTCCCTTAACTCAAAGGTTGCTGATTTGGACCCATCCAGCAGCTCCACGGAGGAAAGTCCTCACAATTTGCTTCCATAAAGTACACAACCAAGAAAACCCCATGATGCTGTTCTGTCTTGTGACATGCAGGTCACCAGAGGCAGAAACAACTTGAAAGCAATGAGTTGCGATTTTCTGGCTGATGTGTACAGTGTCATCTTGAGGGGCAGTAGGGAGCCATCGATGGTTCTGGATCAGGGAGAGCTGTCCCCGGATGAGTGCTCATGTTAGAGCTGGGGTGGGGGCCTTTGGGGATGCAGGAGCTGGTTATGGATCCCTTGCCTCCTTCTGGCCACAGGATCCTCTACACCACGTACTATGAGTCCATCATCGACCGGGAACCCTTCTTTGGCTACTACTTCTTCAACGGCCTCCTGATGATGCTGCAGCTGCTGCACGTGTTCTGGTCGGTCCTCATCCTGCGCATGATTGTTAAATTCATGAAGAAAGGCCAGGTATGGCGAGTAGGTCTTTGAAGCCCCTGCCCGCTCTCCCCTTCCCCTCGAGCTTCACACTGTCCTCTGTCTGTCAGATGGAGAAGGACATCCGCAGTGACGTGGAGCAGTCAGACCTGAGTGAGGAAGAGGCCACCCAGAAGCACCCACAGCTAAGGAACGGGTCAGCGAGCACAGGCGGCCCCCGGAGCCGTGTGACCGGACGGCTGACCAACGGACACACAGCACCCATGTAGGAAGTAGGACCCAGTGTCCAGGGACTTGGATTTGTGGAGTACCAGGCGGATGGCCCTCAAGCCAGCTTTGTGGAGACAGGGAAGGCCCCATCCCTACCCCCCGAGGAGGGCTGATGATCTGTCTCCAGCCCCTTCCCCTGACCTCTGTCCTCCACCCACCCACCCTTCCTCAGGGAAACTGAACACAGCTGGGGCCAGCAGTGGGAAACCAAGGCTGCAGGCTGGGACTGTGGGGAGTCCCCGCTGGAAGGGGCCTAATAAAACTGGAATGGAGCCGAATTCACCTTTTGAGAGATGTGTCCCTGTATGTCCTGAGGAGGAGGAGGACTCCACTGCTCAGCAGAAGTACTCCCTCCCCAGGGACACGAACTGCCTGGGGTTATGTCATATATAGTTTGCCAGCGGGACAACATTTCTGACTGAAGAATCAGGCGCAAGTTGTTCATAGACGCGCCTTTGACAGATCAGGGCTAAAGTGCTTCACTATTATCTGAACTATTTGCTGGGTTTCTTTATGGATGATGTCCTTGCTGTCATCCCACAACTCATCTGGTCTTCAGGCTTTAGCAGTCAAAGGATCAAATCTATTCTTGAAATGGATTTTAAAATTCAGGTGGGATTGTCTCAAGTACATATTTTAAAAGTTGTACAAACAGAACTAAATGGAATACTGCATGATTTAAAATTAGGAAAAGTGTGCATCGAGGTTGTATCCTTTGTCCACACTTGTTCAATTTGTAAGGGAGCTCTGGTGGCCTAGTGGGGAAGGATATGTGCTGCCAACCCAGAGGCAGGCAGTTCAGATCCATCAACTTCTCCTAGAAAGAAACATCTGCATTCTTCTGTCGTGATAATTGGTGGTGGTGGCGGTGCCATTTGAGTTGGTATGACTCATAGCAACCCTCCGCGCAGTGGATCTGACCCCTGTCCATCCTGTGCCATCCTCCGTCTCTCTGACACATGTGAGCCCCTTGCAGCAGTCACTGTGTCCATTCATCTCATTGGGGGTCTTCCCTCTTTCACTGACCGGCATGGTGCTCAGTGATTCTGACCACTGATTCTAAGCACGGTGTCCCTTTCCGAGGAATGGCTTCTCCCAACAACATGCCCTAAAGATGTGGTCTTATCTAGAATCTCTGCTGAAACCAGGCCACCGTGGGTGACCCTGATGGTATTTGAAATACCTGTAGCACAGTTTCCAGCAAAACACAAGCCACTACTGGATGACAAACTGACAGATGAGTGGTGGCCCATCATAGTAACAGCTGAGAAATCTCAAGTGTTGCATTGGAGAAATCTGCTTTCAAGAACTCCAAAATTCTAAAGAGCAAGGATGTCAGTTTAAAGAGGAAGGTGTGCCTGATCCAGGCCATGATATTGTGGGTTGCGTTCTACACGTCTGAAAGGTGGACAGTGAATAAGAAAGGCCAAAGAAGAATCAATGTGTCTGAATTGTAGTATTGACAAAGGGTACTGAGTATTCTGTGGGTTGCCAAAAGAATAGGCAGATTTGTCCTGGAGGAAGTGTACCTGATAGGTAAGATTGGTGAACTCTAGCTCACATCCTGTGAGCATGTTATCAGGAGTCAGTCCTTGGAAAAAATACAGCGCGCTGGTAAACATGGAGGCTCAGAGAAAAACAAGACCCTAAGGATAAGTGGACACGCTGACTATAACAATGGGCTGCAGTGTCTCTGAGATCCTGGGGAGGGCTCAGGATAGGGCAAGGCTCAGGTGTGTTATTCACGGGGTCATGTGTCTTAGTCCACTGGAAGGCAGCTAACAGCAACACTGATTGATTTAAAGACAGCTTTCAGGAAGCCAAAGGTCAAAGATTATCTCCTTCAGTGATGGTGTGAACAGGTCATTTCACCCTCTGTGGGATCCAATAGTCTGGATTCCATGAGAACTGAAAGTCCTTTCTCTACTCCTTGTATGTCCCTCAGATAGAACACTCACTTTCCTCATCCCACCTTATTCATCTTGTTTGCTTGGACTTGAGGAAGAGAATGGAGATGTGCTGACCTCGGGACTCAGCTGTTAGCATACAGAGACACTGCCCCTCCCACCCCGCCACACACACACACAGGAGACCTTCTCTTCAGATAGGAGATTTTTAGACACGTTACCCCATGAAGCCTTCAGGACAGCCCTTGGCGAGCTGCTCACAGAACCAATTTCTAGATTTTTGCCTCTTGCTGGCCCTGTGGGTGTCAGGGTTATGCTCAGTCTGTAAGGTTTTCAAGGAAGGCTTGGCCTTTCAGCCTACGGACCTCTCAGCTTGTTTGAACTCTCAACCTCTGGTTATCAATCCTGGATTTAATTGTGCCACCAGTCATTCCAAATAACAGGTCATTCCTGTGAGTTAAAAAGGCCTGGGAGAATGAGATGAAGTGAAACAAAGGGGTTCATTACGAGGTCTCCGGTGAAATTCCACAGTCTCAGTGAAGAGGGAGAAATTGGGAATGGGATGTTACAAGTGAGGAAATTATAGGCCCAATTTTATAGGAAGTGGTTGGGGGTAGGGTGGTCAACTTGGTGGTCAGCTCTCTGTGGAGGATGCTGATTGGACACTCTATGTTAGTTCCCAAATATGGAGCTGCTCAGTTCCTTTAGGTGGATTGTGTCATGGCTGATGGTCAAGCAGGATGTGGTTGGTGGTCGTAGTCTTTTCTGATAGGCTGTAGCCATATGACACCGGGTTGAATGTAATATCTCCCTTAAGGTGCACTTGGAGTGGAATGTTGCCCCCAGTTCACCAGTGGCCTTTTATTCCAGCCTTTTTGGTTATACAGGGGTGTGTAGTCTCTCTGGCTGCATCCTGCTGAACATGGGTGGTGAATGGAGCTGGCTTATGGGTTGAGAGGAGGTTCACTTGGGAACTGGTAATATGGGTAGAGCAGCATTTGATTCTGTAAAAACAAAAAAACAGGGAGTGACCATTAATGCTGGGAGGCTATTAAGAGAGGACCAAGAACTGGGGCTACTCAGGAACATAGTGGAGTTTGCCACCACCCTAGTAGTGTATTCGTGAGGCCTCTTCACTTTTTTAGCTTTTCTTTGAGTTTATGTAAAGTATCTAGGTTTTCCTCTACTACACCTTTTGCATTGATCCAATAGCAGCATTGTTCAGTAAGAAAGATACAATCAGCTATGAGCAAGTCAAGTCCCGACCTTGTCTGTTCTGCAAAAGCACCTGAATGAAAGAAGTGATTCGTGGCTGCAAGGAGGCCAAAGAATTGGCAGAGGCTTCTATGGATTTTTGTAGTTGTTGTTTTAAATCTGCTGAAGTAACTAGGAAGTGGCCTAGGCCTCCACCACGTACAGCTGCAGCAACAAGACAGAATACTAGAGAAATTCCTACTAGTACAGAGAGGGGAAACTGCCTTTTTAGAGCAGTAATGGTGAGGAGGGTTAAGGAGGACTGCAAGTTCTTCATGTCCATACATCATGAGTTGAAGCACTAATACGGTTGCAACACAAGGGAGTGGGGATGAGGTACTACTATGTTTAAAAAGAATTAAGTTGCATCAAAAAATCCTCCAGAGGAGGAATATACAGAGTTTGACAGAGTTGTGGCAGTGTTCTAGGTGCCTGAGGAAATGGATGAGGAGGTATAGCAATGAGCATAGTTGGTATCTGCATCAGGATACAACAGAAGAACGGAGGTATGAGGTTGCCTGGAGAACAAATTATGGTACAATTAAAGTCTAAAGGGAGAGGAACTGCCAGGAGTGGGGAGTGGTTTAAATAGGCACAAAGAAAGCAGTCAGTGATATCTGTTGTACCAGTATGGTTAAGTAGAAAGTCACCCTGGTGGATTAGGGGTAGCCAAGAGAACGGACGGCTGGCTTGTAGGTTCAAGGCTGATTGGCGTGAAGACTCATGTTGAGAGATGTCACTTGAAAGGTCGACTAGTTGTCTGGCAAAGTCATTGACTGGTGGGGCTACTCAAGTGTAAGTTCTCCAGATTTTTAGAGTAGCTACAGGGTACGAGTCACTCTGTGTTTTGTACAGTTTGTCCTCTAGTCCTTTGGTTCGCTTGGGATCCCAGGGGTCAAAGATGTTTAAAGAGACTGATTTATGCAGTTCTGAGCCATAGCCATAGGATAAGATTTGCCTATGTGTTCGTGGGTCTAGAGGGTTCCAATCGCGGGGTGTATGGATTTTACAGGACCAGTATGGGCAGCCGCCATAAGTTTCCTTCCATTTACGGCAGTAATCTTGGATTTGGTCATGTATAAAACAGATGGTGGGTTCTAGAATTATCCACTCTCCTTATAGAGTTTTGAGGGTACTGTAGGAAAAGTGAGGTGTATTGTTTTCTGGAATCCAGCGAGTGAGCAATCTGCGATGGCAACAATATGTGAGCAGGTGGTGGAGTCTTGAAATCTCCGTACAAAGGCTTGGGCCTTAGTTGGAGGGGCTAGGGGAAAGATTAGAGAGAGGGATAGGAGGAAGGGAAGAAGAAGAGGGGCCTTCACTAGGAAGGCGTGACCTGGTGAGGCATAGAGGCTGTCAGCATAGATGGTGACTGACTAGCTCCCCTTTGGCTCGAGGTTCTGGTCACAGCGAACAGCTCAGCCCTTTGTGAGGAGGTATCTTCTTGTAGGCCGTTAGCTTCCAAGGTGTCTGGTTCATGACTACTCCATAGGTGTTTTTGTGGTGGCCATCAGGGCTTAGGGCTGAACCACTGTCTACAAACAGAGTAAGGTTTGATAAGGGACCACCCGTTAGGTCGGACCTAGGTGAAGACAAATTATCAAGCACTTCTAGACAGGAGTGTGTGATGAGAGGAAGGTTGGAAGGAAGAAGGGAGTCTGGGTTAAGGGGTGGTGACACTTGGAGAGTAACGGAGGGGTTTTCAATAAAGAGGAGATGAAAGTCTTTTCAGTGTAATGGGCTAAGAAGGGTTAGAGCTTTATGAGGTCTATAAGATGATGTGGGGAACAAATAGGGATAGGCTGTGAGAGTGTAAGTTTGAGAGCCTCTTCGGTTAG